TCTCTCTCTCTCTCTCTCTGTCTGATCTCTCTATCTGACTCTATCTCAGATCTCTACCTCAGATCTCTATCTCGATCTCTGTCTCGATCTAGATGCATATGAATCTATATCTATCTATATATATGTATACACATACATATATATATATACATACATACCCATATCCGGATCCATATCCATATTGAATCTCTATGCCTCTATTTTCTTATATCTCGATACTTTATACCTCTACGTCGCTATATCTCTACATCTCTGAACCTTTACATTTCTATATCTCTGTATCTCTGTGTCTCTATATCTCTGTATCTTCATATTTCAGACCTTTGTATCTCTACATCTCCGTATCTCTGTCTCTCTTTAAATCCTTGCCTCCCTATATTCTACATCTCTATACCTCTTTTGATCATCTCTATATCTCTGCATCCTCATATGCCTCATATCTCTATATATCCCTAGGTCTCCATATCTCTTTATCTCTACAGGAAGTCTGCACCTCTTTATACTTATATCTATACATCTATACATCCATAAATCTATATGTCTATATATCTGTTTATCTGTATAGCAACATATCTACATATCTATATATCTGTATTTCTATATGCTTGTATGCTACACCGCCCGATGTATCTGCAGCACCTCAGGTGCATGGGCGATATCGCACTTATTGCAAAATGCCGATGTCTCGTCCACTCCCTGCAACCTCACCTTCACCTTCAAACAGCCTTTGCAGTACATCTGCTGTTAATAGTTAATATCAGAAGATTAATATTTGTTGCTGAATGTTTCATGTTTTTCTGCCTTACTGCTCAAGCCACACCAGTATTCAGAAACTATTTATGGAATTTAACATCGCTTTGTACTGGGTTAGCTCATCGGTGTAGAAGTAAAAAACGATGACTACGGCTTCTGTCTTTCAGAAGGAGATAGCAACAAAAAGACCGCAAATGCACACAGAGTATGCGCTAGCGACTAAGCCATGAAATGCTATACGCATAACTGGAACATTACGAAATGCCCTTGTGTACGGATGAAGGGAAGTATTTTGAGGACGAACTGGCTGTTTGGTTAGATCTGAAAGGGAATGCTGCTTATCTTTCAACAGCTATAACAATTCGTGAGCATTTGCTCGTTATTATCAAGAACTATTGAACACTCCCTTCATCAGACAGATCTGCAGCATACAGAAGTAAACACTGCTTAAGTTGTATGTTAGCATCGCATGTTCGACGGGTATAGAATGAATACTTGCAGGTTCCTGTTTGTCAAAATGAGACTTACATGGTGTGAAGTCGGAAACCCGACACAGAAGATCAACCAGGTATCAAGAGAGTGTTTAACTGTGCAACTTACAATAGTGAATCATCGCTTGAATACGACGTAACTACTGCAGGCTTGAGAAAAATCATCCAATGTTGGAGTTCCAATGAGCGACGCTGAAGTCTGCTGGGGGCTTTCACATTTCTTGGGAGAGAATGTGCTGACGCTGTCGCTGCGGCTATCACGTGGCAGGGGCATTGGTTCACCGGCACCCTGCAGTCTGCCTGAGCCTCGGCAATTTGCTTCTTCAAGGGTCGTGGAGCATTCTGAGAGTGCCTTTTCGAGGTGGAAGGAGATATCGTCAACGTAGTTTGTGATGTCGGGGCCCTTGAGGCTTCCACTTAGTTCGTCCGGCTGAAGTTCTTGGCAGGTGGACTCGCCAGGCGTGATTACTGTAGCTCCGGTGACGGCTGCCGCGTGCCGAGCCAGGGTGACGTTGCAAATCCTGCATAGACCGTCGCGATTTGCCTGTGAGACGGCGAGTCGCATAAAATCTCTTGAAGAGATCTCTCGTTTTCTTCTCTTATCGAGTGGAGGTTCGACCCGCGCGACCTTCGAAGCGCCTCCTAGAGGAGTCAGAGTTCGTCTCTCCGTCTCAGCTGAGTGGCAGACTCTCGTTCGAGCTTCGAGTGCCTCTCAACAGGATGCCGACAAGAAGCTCCGGCACATGCGGGCAAGGCACATGGGAGTGCGTAATTCTTCGCAAAAAAGAGAGACGTGTTTTTTTTTGGAGGTCTATCGGATGAGAGAAGCTGCGGGTTCTGGTAGTCTGTAGATGTCTGTAGGTTAGGATAGGAAGGCGACGGGCCAAGTGTGCATCGCCTGGCATTTTCCTGCGTGCAAGTCCGGCAAGGCATTGCAAGCCTGGTATTCCCCATGTAAAAACTCGGTGGCACTGCGGCTTCGCATGGCCCTGCACGCTCTTTCTTCGGTGGCTTCGAGCACATGCTCAAGCCAAGAAGAAGCAGTTCGAATTGGGAGCAGCAAACTTGCATGTTCCTCACGTGAATCCGGGTCTCGTTGAGGCTGTGCATGACGGAATGTACATGTTACACCTTGTCTTTGCAGAGACTCCGTTCTTCAGGGCTCTGCGATGAGGCGAAAGCTCTGTACAAATTTGGGGCATTTCGATTGCTTTTGAATATGCTCGCCGAGCAGCCCCGTGACGGCCCCCCGCGGCCTCCGCCTCACCGAAAAATGAGGGACTCAGGGACTCGCAAGAACCGCCCCAGAGTCCAGAGGCGGCTTGATCTTTGCCTCGCGGCCATGGCCTGCACACTGCGTCCTTCGCCCGCCGCCGAGTGCTTAAGGATGCGTTCTTTACAGGGGCTTTTTTTGTCATGACACCCCGGCTCGTCGCAGGGGAAAGACTGGACCAGACTTGTGACTGGACCCGGATCGCGCAAAAAAACATAGTCGCAGATATTTCGAAAACCCGACGACCAAAGCGTCAGTGCACCGTCCACCCCGCAATGGTTCCTCGGCGGGATGAAATGTTCCTGAGAGGCGAAGTGTGCCTGACTTTCTGTGATCTCGGGAAATGTCTTGGGAACCGCAAGAGTTTTGTGGTTTCCCGTCCAGGTGTGACCAAGCAGAGGCACGTCCGTATTTCAGGTAGAGGACTCTGTATAGCCGCTGTCCGTGCGGGGCGCAGGGACCATCGCTGAGAGATGCCGGCACCGCCGAAGCGCCCGGAGGTGCGGCGATTGGGTTTTTGTCAGTGTGTGTTGGAGATGCGGTCTTCGCTGCGCTGCGGCTTGTTTTGTCAGGAGGATGACAGCTCGCTTCCATCTCCACAGCCCGTCCCGAACCGAGTTCCTGCAGGAGCACCGAGGGCCGAGAGCTGCGAGCAGCAGTGCAGCAGTCGCAGCAGTCGCCGCAGTCGCCCTCGTTTGCGCCTTTGGTTCTCAGCGCAGGACCCGGAAAGCTCTCGAGGAACAAGGCCGCGGCTGTCTGGGCCTGGGCTTGGGAACTTGGGAGCCATCTCAAAGTACGCTCCGCTCCGCTCAACTCCGCTCCGCTCCAGGGCAGGCTGATGCCATCCCTGCCCGAGGAGCCCATTCAAGGGGAAGACTGCTGGGGGGGGGGCCGAAGGCGATGTGCCGGATCCCTTCGCAATGCAGGATCAGGAGCTTCACCCACCGAGTCCCATGCAGTCAGGCACCACGGCCGCGCGGGCGCGCGCGCGGGGTTGTGGGGGGGGGGCTTTTTTTTTGTTGTCAGGCGAGTGCTTCCGTCTCCGGCATGTCCGGGTGGAGGCCTTGCTGCAGGCGCGCGGCGAGCTTTTTCTTTTGTGCTCTCTCAGCCTCTCTCCTTAGCCTCTCTCCTTCCGCTCCTGAAGGACGGCACCTTGGGCCTCCTCTTGCACGGCACCTCCGTGGTGGGCTTCTGCAGTGAGGAGGCGGCCTCGCACGGCTGGCCCGGGGTCCCAAGGGGGCTCCGGAGCCAGAGCCAGGGAGAGGGAGGAGGGCTCCCAGCTCCCTTTTTTTTTGTGGTGGATATGTGACATCTCTCTGTACGTACGGTTGTGTGACAGGAGGAATTAACTTCTCGAAGCTTCTTTTCTTTTGTTTCTTTTGCATCTTACTTCTGATGAGCAAGATGCTCTTTCCTTCGCGAGCTGTTGATGCCTGAGGTTCGTCGGTGATCAGATCGTGGAAATCAACGGGAAGCATGTGGCGGCCTTCGACGAGTTCTTGGAGCAATTCCTGGCCGCACAGGTCCAGGCAGTGGCAGGGAAGCTGTTCTGTTCGTTCTTCTCCCTCTGGGCTTTGCTGATCTGAGGGCTTTCCGATTGTCTTCAGCGTGCTCCGGCGAGAAGCTCCAGAAGAAACCCCCGACGAGGATCGGATGTCCTTCAAGAGCCTCGAAGCTGATTTTGGTTGAAATGGTACAACACCCGAGGCCCAGTAGCTTCACCAGGCCCAGCAATTCAGTTGTTTAGAGACACGTTACTGCAGCTTGCAATCCGATTCCTAAAACCTGAAAGAAGATGTTGAGCGGCAAACAAAAACCAAACGGCAAAGTTCTTCTTCTTCTTCTTCGTCCAGCTTCATGCGGTAAGAACAGCAGAGCTGCAGCCATGAATTCAACATCTGTACAGGAAATGAAGAGCGCAGGGGTCTACAACCTTCCTGCAGTCTGGTGAACTGCCGCGGGAGCCAACGACACACGAGTTTTTTGTCATCGCACATAACGTCTTTTTGTCGCTACGCTGGCTTCAAACACTGCAAAAATGTCAGCCAGAAATCCGGTCTCTTGAATGGGGACTTAGATGACAGCTGCGGGATCACTCTAATCAGCACTATCGTCGACCCCACCATCGCATCGCATCCCATCGCCCCCCCCCCTCACTTTCATGAATATCCTTTCACCGGAGCCAGGAACACCAAGAGCCCATGGTGTGATCGTGACCACACGAGTGGTGTGATAGCAAAAAAAGCCCCGGAAGTATATAGGAGAGCCTGCTTCGCTCAGCACCCTCCAGCGCAGGATCCTCTCGAGAGCTTCTTCAGCGAGATCGACTTTGTGGACCTGGCCGGACGGCCGGGGGGCCCTGGCAATACCAGAAAAAAAGGGAGCGTTTGGCAGCCCCAAAACAGAAAAGCCGAGGCTGAAGAAGAAGTTCGGGGGATCGCCCGGCAAGGAGAGGGAACATTCGCCCGCGGGGGGGGGGGGGGGGGGGNNGGGGCGGGGGGGGTGCGGGGGGAAGTCGGTTTGGAAGTTCCTTCAGCGCAGCGCGAGGCCGAGCTGGCGAGCACGGGCAGCTCAGGCCGACTTCTTTTTGCTGCGGGGCGGAGCTGATTTGAAAGACAAGACACACGCCTCATCATCGCAGCTCTTCCTGCCCCAGCGGCCGGTAACGTCCCCGATTTGCTCAGGCGATGCCATCCTGGAAAATCCGTACATCCAGGCAAAACGAAGAATAACAAGCACCGCGACAGCCGGGGCCTGTGTGTCGAGCTGAGCTGTGAGAGCGAGAGGCCCTTCGCCGTCGGCGCACCGAGCTGAGCAAGAGCCCGGAGGGATGGAGCGCGGGGTGAACAGAAATTTCAATGCAGGCAGAAGTGGTCAAAAAAAGATCTTCATTGCAGGAGTGAAGAGAGCCAATCGCTCGCTGCCAAGATGGCCACGGAGCGTGGTGATGCTTTGGCCACCCTGAATCTCAGCTGCCCACTTCAGTGCTGTTCTTCTCGCTGTGAAAACGCACAAATCGCGCTTGCCTGGGTAGTTACAGTGCTCGCGTGGTCGAAGTCAGGAATGATATGGCCTCCTATTTCCGCTTGCTCGCACATGCCGAAAGCACGTGTGTCCTGCTGGGTGAGGGGGTTGTCTAATCTAGTGCTTGCGGTTTGAGTATACACATCAGGCATTTCTCTTACTTTGAGTTCTGTCATTGTCGGTATTTACGGTGCTTGCCCTGCTTCATGCCCTGGCCAGGGCATCCATGCCCAGAGTAACCAGAGCAGTCATGCCCAAACCCTGATGCTGTCCATGAGAAGCGCAGTGGTTCCCCAGCATGGCCAAGCCGACGTCCGTGTGACTGCATCCGTTTCGCAGAGCATCCTGCAGCGGAAGAGGATGATTCGTCGAGCAGCCCACGCAGCATGAGCATCGTGATGTCCTCTGTCAGCCAAGCATGGAAGCGTTTGCTACAGGCCTGCGGGCATCATCGGACGTCATCATAGCAAAACACCCCTGGGTACCGATGTATGCGACAAGTCACAAAGTAGAATAGCGAATCCTGTGGTTTGCGCATGTTCATTGCATCGGAGCGATGTGCTCAAAGACAGTGATTGGCGCTTTGTGCTTGGGTTGCCGAGGAGTCGTGCTTCGACCGACACGCCGCGGAGGTCAGAGAGAGACACCAAGACATGCAAGAGTAGCCAAAGTGCGGGGTCGAATTCAACAGCAACGAACAGACGCAACTTAGACTTCCGACCAAGATTTTTCCCGAAAGCTTCAGCGAAG